CGGCTGGCCTCACCGTTGCTCATCCTCGCGCCCACAGCAGCCCGGCCTCTCTTCAGCAAACCTACGCCTCGGCTCAGCAGGCGCCTCAGCACGCGCCCCAGCCGCACGCGCGTCACCACCATCACCCTAAGCAACGCAGCTACGACGTCATCAGTACGGTCGACGACCTGGGTCCCCTGCCACATGGATGGGAACAGGCGCGCACCCCCGAGGGACAAATCTACTTCCTCAAGTGAGTTCTACTTCTTCTACGTCTTCTCTTTCTCGCTCTCGCTGTGTTTTCTTTGCGTCTCTTCTTTTCCCGTTTATTAGAATCGGACCTGTCGCCTTCCTGCGGGCCGCCTTTCTACAGTGTACACTATACAATATTCATCAAATCCCCTTCGAAAACACTGGTTTAAACCTATGGACATCGAGTACACTCGGGTGCAACGTAGTTTTCCTCTAATTATCTGTAGGAAAGGAGCACGTTTGCTTTTGATTTTCGGACAAGTTAGGAAACGTAACGTAGATGCAAGTTGATTTAACATAAACCTATACGCGTGGTAGCATAACTACTGTGGTAGCAACGTGAGGCTGTACAATGTGTGCTAATACACGAGGCTGTACAACGCGTGGTCATATGATGTGAGATTATACGTGTGGTGATACAACGTGAGATTATACAAGCGTGGTGACATTACACGATGCTATACAACGCGTGGTAACCATAACGAGACTATGCAATGTGTGGTGATATAACGCGTAGTGATACAACGCGTGGTTATTCATTCAGCGAATTTTTACTATGCTCGATCAGCAACGTTAAAGAAAGAATGAAATTTCAAGAAAGTAGGATTTAACAGAAGTGTAAAAGCTCCCTTTAGGAAGTCTTCGTTGCATCTGAATGTACGTTATGTCATAAAAATAAGTTTTATTACATTCGTAATCAATCAAAATGTCGACCTTACGCGGTGAATAACTTGTACGCTTACGCGCGTCGGGCTTGCATTATAACTAATGCTTTATCACGATTAAAGCGAACCGACCGCCTGCCGTTTCTTCGAACCGTACCTCGTCAATGGGATCGTGCTCGACTCGTTAGGATCGACGGAATCCTTCTCGAACGCTCTTAAGGTTTCCTCGTTAAACGTAGTTTCGCGTTCGCTGATCCTCTTAAGGCATTATCTGAACGAAGATACGGAGAGAATACGAAGCGGACGCGGACGTGACATTTTCGAAATCGTTACGAAAACAGGTGATCCTCCCGGTGATTTCTCATGTATTCACCGTTAACTTCTCCGAATCGATTCTACGTTAACGATTCCAAAAGCGAGTCGCATTCGATCGGACGGTTTATCAGAGAATTCATCCGTTCGTGCTGTATGACGCTGTTGAACGTATTTTCTCGGTGTGTTGGGGTCCCACATACCTCAAGGCCGTTACTGTCTTTATCGCCACCTCGTACTTACTCATCGTTGTTTCTTCGTTCCTCCATTTCTCGGCCATGTCTTCTCCCCACTTCTTCGCCGTGCATCCCATTCTCTCTCATCTTTCTCGCTCGTTGTTTCTCCTCGTCGATCCACGAACCGCCTACCCGATACATCCAGCCCTCTCTCCTCCTCTTCCCGCTTCGAGTCCCCTCTTCCATCCCGGCACGTTTAACCTGATCCACCTGCGCCGTGACTAGGATTCCCACGTGTCACCTGTCGTGGGAAACGCTCCCTTGTCTGCTTTGTCGCCTCGTTCACCTCCTTCCTTCCTTCCACCCACCTGTCTTTGACCCGGCCACGTCCTTTCTACCACGTTTCTTCGCTTGGGGTGATCATCGCCTCGAACTTTAACCCTGCTGCTTCTTTCGTATTCCAGATTTTCTTACGTACAAATTAATGTAATTTATAAAATACGATATCTCGCTGTATCGAGAGCTGTCATTTCTTCCACATGTCAATAATCGAACTTCGAGATAATTTCAAGATCTGTATTATTTTGAAATTCGAAACGTCAATAAGAGATTGAAATATTTCATCGGTTCTCGAACGGTTTGTTCTCCTTGCTCGTCTGATTACAATTTCGAGGCAGTAGTGGCTGATGTCACGTCAAGATATACCGGTGATAATCGATACGCTGCTCTCGATAACAGATATACCGAGAAAAGAAAGAAAGTCCGTCGGTTCCATTCAGTCGGTTTTCTGAATATTCATCGTTCTAGCTTTCGGTGTTCCGCCTTTAAAAAGCTGACCGAAGCGAAGACTATTGTTCTTCGCCTCCTTTTTTCTCCTCTCGTTTCTTATTTGCGAACGAGGAGAACGGGGAAGGGAGAAAAAACTCGAGAAGAGCCGTTCCTGTCCGCTCTCTTCTTTTCAGAGGAGGCTTTTACCTGAGCTTAAGCGTCCATTTCTGTTTTCACCTGCGAGATATATCCTTACCTGCCGCTAAAAATTCGTGAGAACGAATAGGACGGAGGAGGGTCGGTTTTTGAAGAATACCGGGAACTGCGTTTCACCGTTCCGTGAGAACCGACCGGACGGTCCTTTATGCAAAAATTTTTCTTCGTACACTTTCGAATTTAATACCGTGTTCGTTATACTTTAATAATCAAGCTTATCGCTTCCGGTGAGCTTCTGAAGGTTAGAGTTAGATCATCGAGCGTGCCGGTGAATCGTTTCGTCGAAGAACAGTTTCTTTCAGGGAAAACGAACGTTTGTTGGCGCGTATCGCGTCTGCTGCGTTTCCGTTCCGATTGCTCGCGCAGGTATCGATGTTTCGCGAGTCCGACGCTCGAAACTCGAAACTCGAAATCGAGTTGGCGGCCATCATCGTAGACCACACGTTAGAAAGGTTCAAGTAATTCGAAGGGTAATTTCCTGGATAACTGTTCTTGCTAATTGTTATTTAATTACTCGCAAATGATTAGGTTAGGTAATCAATAATGCAGCTTTAATCGTTTGCCTTGTAAATCTTATAAAGTAAATTTTTAGTAAGTAAATTTAGTTAGTAAATTTTTAACAGATTTTACCAAATAATTTGATAAGATACGCGTACAGGAAGTTGTGTATTAATCTTTTAGTTAATTTATAAGATTTGTTGAACTTGGAAGAAAAGGCGGGAAATTTGAATCACATAAATTAGAAAAATTTAGTGAAAAATAAAATTGTAGATAACATTTATTTTATACATAAATAAATTTTCTTATCTCTTGACGACCTTACTTTCACGTTATTTATTTTTGATTCTTAAAATAAAGTTTTGTATACAGACGCGTACGTGATTCGCAGACGATAGTTGATCTTTAGTGACGTATGTATACGTCATTCAAAGCGGAAGGGTTAAATACACGATAGAAGCAAAAACCGTACGCCCGTTACAAATTTAGAAAAGAATTATGAATCAACATTCGTGTAGATTCTACGAAATTTTTCAGTCGCGTTACGTAGATCCGTGTTTTCCTCGTGAAATGCTTCATATATATATATATATTTTTTTTTACATCGGAAGCATCTAACAGCTGTTCGTAACGCGTCCATTTGCAATGCAGGAAGCGGAATGAAGGTAAACGAAAGGAGTTAATAATTACACACGGCTATCGCGTATGCGAGTATCGAGATTTTGATCAATTTATTTTGCCTCCGATCCGATAAATATTATTTAATCGAAAAAAGACCAGATATAAATTAAATCGTTTTCTTGAGTTTAATTTTAAACTTAATTTGTTAACATGCTATTATTAGCATAAGACGGTGTATAAAAAAATATATCAGAGTCCAAAGTTAAGTATACATTTTGCACTCGGATTTTTTAGAAAAATATACAAAATGTCTATTAATAGACTTCCAGAGTACCGCTTCAATTTTGTATCTAAAAGAATGTGCTATTGATAGAATTCTAGAATAGAATTGTACTATATATTACAATCGTACCATACATTACAAGCACTATACAATGATATCACAGTTGATATAGTACAACTGTAATGTGATTGTATAGTGGTTGTAATTTATACACATATTATTTTATATTATATATTATATTATTTATATAATCATATAAATATAAATACATACACACACATATAATATACATACATACATACATACATGCATACATACATGCATACACACATATATGCACATATGCATACACACATGCATACATACATACATACATGTATACACACATATATGCACACATGCATACATACATACATGCATACATACATATATACACACATGCATGCATACATACATATACATATATATGTACACATATGTATGTATATACATAGTTAATAAAATATAATATAATATATAATATAAAATAATATAATACGACTACATATATAGTTAACTATATAACGCTTTAAAACAGGAAAATGAATACTCATAATTTTAACGCAAGTAAACTATATTTTTCTAAAGTTTGAACGCCATCGGTTATATCGCTGTTGCATCTGGCTCCTAACTCATTACACGAATGATCGAAACGATTGCGAGTGGGCAGTGTCCATATCAGAAACGTTGAATGGTCGTTCGCGGAGAAGGAAAAAGCATGACGATCCCCGATAAAGACACGTAACAGGAGGCGCGGAGAGTTCCTCGATGTGTAAATGTTTCGATGCAAAAGAAGTGCAACGAAGCGAGAGGCCACGGTTGTGTTGTATTATGGCAGTAATGACTGGCCTGACGGCACCCGGTGTTTTCTCTCTCTCTTATTCCTCGTCTTCTTCGCTCGTTCGTCCAATTACCTCTATGTGGCCGTCACCGCGAGCTTTTGGATCTTATCCAGAAGCGGGACTTATTAGAATCTAATTTGCGTAATTGAAACGTGATTCGAGGGACGAACAAAGTGACTGTTTGAAAAAAAAAAAGACGACTTCTAGGAAATGCCCTCTTCGATCCCGTTTCTACAGGGTGTTCAACGAGAGACTCGATGCTTCTAGAAACTCCGTTACGTGTAAATTACACTGTTTCCTGATTACAAGTCGGAATAGGTTTCGGGTAATTACGCAGGATAATGCGAAACAAAGAATGTTTGAAATTTCGATATCTAAATTGAATTTGGTAGGAAAGTACCTGAGGATCAGTTTTCCTTTAATTCATACTTTCATCCTTAATTTTAAGGCCGAGTATTTTGTTCTTCCTGTTTAATAATATTTCTGAAAATCCTCAGGTACTTCCCTAGCAAGTTTCATGTAGATATTAAAATTTGAAACATTTTTTGTTTTAGATGACAATTGCAGTTATTATGGCTTGCATCGCAAAAGTCTGCGTCAAGTGCAGGACTCTGCCATTCTAGTTCCTGAGCTACTATTTTCTCTCTCTTGTTTATATCTTACTTCAAATTGTAGATAAAGTTTCGTTCTATAAATACATGTATATGTATATCTTTCTTTTATACTCGAATCGTTTTTTAAGTTAAAGGCCTACAGGGTGGTTCACTCTTTACGGCTCGATATTTAATTATAAATTAGGTAATTACTAATTTTATATAACGTAGGGTAGGGTACAATGTAGGGAAGGAAAAATTGTTAGAAGACGTAGGAAGTTAGCAAACAGTATTTTAATTAATAAACTGATGTATTTTACAAAACGCAATTATCTGAATTTATTCTATCCTATGTCCTTCATCCAAATCTTTTAAAAAACGAAGTAGTCTTTTAATATTTACTATTTCGAAATTTTTTAAATTTGCTCGATGTGAAGCATCAGTAAAATTAGATATATTCTCGTATAAAAATGCATCAATCAGATTTATGTCAGCGAACACGGGTGACCACCGCGTATATTTCGATTAGAAAATAAAGATACCGGGAGAAAGAGGTACGCGAACCGTTTAAAGCGTTTGCTCCTCGTTAAGGAGACGAAACACGTTCTCCTTCCGCCGGTTTCTCTGCCAGCATCGTTCACATCGCGAAATTTCTGCCAGCTTTATCTGTATCATACTTTTATTTTTTCTTCGATTTTTCGTTTCCCCGCGCTTAAGCGGCCAACGCAACCTCACCTCGCCGTGTATAATGTTATACGTTAGTCCCGTTACCTAGCTTCGCGTATTACATACCAGCGAGGAAAGCAACTGTATTCCGACGAAACGAAATGACTTTGGCGAAACACAGGAATCTTCTTTTCTTCTCTTTTCTTTCAACAATTTCGTACACTTCGGACTTCCTAGATTTCTTAGAAATAAAATTTCTAAGGTCTACAATTTAATTATGAACAATTTATAGATGAACGTTCTTGGAATGCAATATAAAGTTTGGGCATAGATTACAGACACTTAGGTTTAATATTAAACTTCTACATTTATTAAGTATATTATACAAATTTTTAAGATAGCGAAGTTGCTCAGATGGTATAATGCACAAACTCATAATAGAAATTTCGCACGTTCAAATCCATCACTAGAAATTTTTTTTTATTTCGTAATTCTATGCAGTAAGTTTGTTGGTCTACAAAAAACGTTCTCACGATATTTTCGAGCTTATAGATTTGTTGAGAACGTGACGGAGGGTCATGATATAAATAATATTTATTAAGTATATTATAAAAATTGTTAAGATAGCGAAGTTGCTCAGGTGGTATAATGCACAAACTCATAATAGAAATTTCGCACGTTCAAATCCATCACTAGAAATTTTTTTTTTACTTCGTAATAAACCCATTGTTGGAATGCAATATAAATTTTGGGTATAGATTACAGATAGTTAGGTTTAATATTAAACTTCTACACTTATTAAGTATATTACAAAAATTTGTAAGATAGCGAAGTTGCTCAGGTGGTATAATGCACAAACTCATAATAAAAATTTCGCACGTTCAAATCCATCACTAGAAATTTTTTTTTATTTCGTAATTCTATGCAGTAAGTTTGTTGGTCTACAAAAAACGTTCTCACGATATTTTCGAGCTTATAGATTTGTTGAGAACGTGACGGAGGGTCATGATATAAATAATACCCGCTATACGGAGTACCAGACTCTCGATGAATGCGCTATCGTTCGAAAGCACTCGTGTTACTCTTTTCTTCGCAACACCCTATAGACGCGTGCTCGCAAAACGTCTTGGCAGCTCGAGAAACACGTTTCGCCGCCAGGTGAACACACGAGACACGACGAGAAGGCATCCAAGGTTTTCCGTCAACTGTATCATTTGACGAAACATTAGTCACGAGCAGAGTCACACATTTTATCCGTGGAATTCGTGCGACTCTCTCGGTCTCTCCTACGATTCCGCTTTATCGAGCTGCCATTCGGTGTTGTTCATCCGTGTTTCGCATTTCTGGCTCGTGGTCCAGCTTTTTGGCGGTCGGACCCTGTGTCGAGTCTTCCGAAATTCCTGGAAATGCCGAAAAATCGAACGATACCTAAGCGATTACGAATGAAACTAGCTGAGAATAGGTCTGAATTAATCGGAATAGCACGAAAATTCGCTGTTGCATAAATTCTTCAAGACTTCGTTTTGTTATTCAATTTTATTATTATTTCCGACGAACACTAAGTTCTGATACATTTTAAATTAGATCTTAAGAAGAGAGCTAGTGAATTCGAAGAATCTAGGGATACCTATTCTCGCACATGAGTCACTATGAAGTTATTTCTCATTCTCGTAATATTAAAAATGGTAGACAAGTTTTATGAAACTTAAAATAGATCAGAAATTTAATTACCTGAATTCGATATCCGAGTAATAAATTTTGTCGGCGCATAACTGCTGTCGTAAAAGGTTAATGGCAATTGATTTGTGGTGAATGAGTATCCTTGTGGTCTCGTTACCGCTTCGTAATTATCGCGTAGAAAAACTGATTGACAAGCGGAATCGAACGCAGATCGTTTTACCTGCAAATTCGTTTCGAGGACGTTTAGCGTGCATTTTCGAATGCAGTGAAAGTTGCGTTCATGCGACATCGGCATCCTGTTACGTTCAGGGTCAGTTAGAGCAACGTGGACGCATGTTTTTCCTCCCTGTCCGATATTTAGAATCTATGCCACATGAAAAATAACGCATCGTGTAAAAACGATGTCGCGTCTTTCGATTGTCCCTTGACAAAAAGTTAAACAAATTTCAGACAATAACGAGCGGAAACTGTTGAATAGCACGTAATAGAAGGAGAATAAAATGAGAAAAAAATTAATGTACGCAAGCATGTGCGCGAGTTTGCGTTAGCTACACATAGTCTTCGCGGTGTGGCGAATGGCGATAATACGGTGGACGACAACGACCGTGCGCGAGAGGTTTTTCCATTCGTGTATCGTCTCTCGAAAGACGTTTCTTTCGATAAGCGAAAGGTAAAGCGATAAATAATATCCGTGTGACGCGATGAGAGAATTAAAAACGCGAGATAAACGATACACGGCCAGACTTTATTTTACGCGTACGTCACGTTCGATCTATTTGTATTACAGTGGGACCGCGTGAGCACGATGTGAATGTGTGCGCATTATAGTAATCGTCGTTTACCTGCGGACGGGAGAGTAGGTCGTGCTCTTTCCCGTAAAGTACGGGGTGTTCGACAAGTCTTAACATTTATTTCTATTATTTTCTTTCGTTATTTCGACTTTTTTAACTGTTTTCGGTAATTGTTGAGTTCTTATTTTTCAAGTATTCGAATTCTTCAATTTTACAATTTCTGAATTTTGGAATTTCTCAATTTTTGAATTCTTGAATTCTTGAATTCTCGAATTCTTGAATTACTGAACTTTTGAACTTTGGAATTTCTCAGTTTTTGAATTTTTGAATTTCTGAACTTCTGAATTTCTGAATTTCTCAATCTCTAAATTCCCAAATTTCTAATCTCCCAAATCCCTAGATTCCCAGATCCCTAGATTTCCATATCCCTAAATTTCCAAATCCCTAGATTTCCATATCCCTAAATTTCCAAATCTCTAGATTCCCAAATCCCTAAATTTCCATATCCCTAGATTCCCAAATCCCTAGATTCCCAAATCTCTAGATTCCCAAGTCTCTAAATTCCCAAATTCCAAATTCAAAATTTCCCAAATCCCAAAATTCCCAAATCCCAGAATTCCCAAATCCCAAAATTCCCAAATCCCAAAATTCCCAAATCCCAAAATTCCCAAATCCCAAAATTCCCAAATCCCAAAATTCCCAAATCCCAAAATTCCCAAATCCCAAAATTCCCAAATCCCAAAATTCCCAAATCCCAAAATTCCCAAATCCCAAAATTCCCAAATCCCAAAATTCCCAAATCCCAAAATTCCCAAATCCCAAAATTCCCAAATCCCAAAATTCCCAAATCCCAAAATTCCCAAATCCCAAAATTCCCAAATCCCAAAATTCCCAAATCCCAAAATTCCCAAATCCCAAAATTCCCAAATCCCAAAATTCCCAAATCCCAAAATTCCCAAATCCCAAAATTCCCAAATCCCAAAATTCCCAAATCCCAAAATTCCCAAATCCCAAAATTCCCAAATCCCAAAATTCCCAAATCCCAAAATTCCCAAATCCCAAAATTCCCAAATCCCAAAATTCCCAAATCCCAAAATTCCCAAATCCCAAAATTCCCAAATCCCAAAATTCCCAAATCCCAAAATTCCCAAATCCCAAAATTCCCAAATCCCAAAATTCCCAAATCCCAAAATTCCCAAATCCCAAAATTCCCAAATCCCAAAATTCCCAAATCCCAAAATTCCCAAATCCCAAAATTCCCAAATCCCAAAATTCCCAAATCCCAAAATTCCCAAATCCCAAAATTCCCAAATCCCAAAATTCCCAAATCCCAAAATTCCCAAATCCCAAAATTCCCAAATCCCAAAATTCCCAAATCCCAAAATTCCCAAATCCCAAAATTCCCAAATCCCAAAATTCCCAAATCCCAAAATTCCCAAATCCCAAAATTCCCAAATCCCAAAATTCCCAAATCCCAAAATTCCCAAATCCCAAATTTCCCAAATTCCAAAATTCCCAAATCCCAAAATTCTCAAATCCCAAAATTCCCTAAATTCCAAAATTCTCAAATTTTTTAATTTCCAAACCTCCACTGTTCAAAATTCTAAACTTGAAATTGTATACCTAAGTCCTCTATTCCTCCAGTTTTAGTGCACATAGGCAATAAGATAGGAAAAGTTTATAGGGACTTTTCGAACACCGTAGATATTATAATACGTCCGCGAGGATCGACGTTTTTACTCGGTTAGACGGAGGCTAAAGACCCCGACACACCTGTAGACACTACTGGTAAAGAAGTCTTAGGCAGCAAACGCGAATACCAGATAGGAGGACAAATCCTCGTGAATACCTCGAATGTATCGAAAGTTCAAGGCAGCGCGAGTGTCCTCGCTTCTTTGCTTGTCGCTTCGTTCGACTTTACAATTAGCGATCACCGTTAAAACATACTCAAACTTCCACGTATTTCATCCATTATCAAATAAAAATTTCCTTTAAACGTCATCCACATAAAAATAGAAAATCATCATTTACAAAATTAATAGAACATTCAGAACATATAGAAAATTAGCTTTAAAGATTCTTCTACAGAAAATTAAAACTGCTATGATTTTGTTGATATCAGAAATCTTTGCCTGATAAAAGTGCTTCAAAAAGATTGTATAATTTCGAGGAACGTTTAAAAGGAGCGCAAAGCTTACTTTTCTTATTAGTAGCTCTAGTATTGGAGCTCGCATTAACGGCAACCGAGGCGGAAGGATTAAAGGCGATTTTAAATAGAGATAAGCTGAAAAGCGAACCTTGTACATTCTTCGAAAATCCATCTATTTTCGGTAACCTTAAAGTAACATAGATTTTGTACAGATAAAGAAAAGAAGTGGTTTTCCGGGTACGGATTAGCTAAGCGGCGCCAAGTCGCATTTTAGTCGAAATTTCATATACCGTTAATGGTTTCGTGTAGATCCATAAATATCGTCTGTGACAACTTAATCGTAGCGCGGATATTTTCTTCTATATCCATATACACATAAGAAAAAGGAGTCCCGAGAAAAAGTTGTTTGGTTCGGAACGACGAATATTGATTTATGATTTCTTTTTCCCTCAAGGTCATTGTATTTCAAGCTTTCAATGCCACTCACAGTTTTTTAACGCATGTACACACGAATATTAATTATCCACGTGGGCTATTCGTGGATGTTTTATCTCCGTCGCGGTACAAAAACATGTGAGCCTTTGTGAAATTCTCGGTACAAAAGTTTGGGAACTTTTGAACTGATTGGTCCACGTGGCACATGGCACGTGGCTTCATTCACTTTTCGAGAAACTAAAATTCCAGATATCTTCACGAAAGAAACAAAGGATCGTACAAAATGGACTCTGTGATCTTTGTAAATTATCCCTTTACGGGACATGTGTATATTGGAAAAATTGTGACTAATGTAGCTACATGTTCCTGATATTTCTGATTCTATAAGCATGGAATATATCTAAATGAAGAAACTTGCATGTCCGATAAAAGTCGGTTGTCGCCTCGGCGTCTCGAAGGTAGCTTTTCGAAGGGAGAAAGTAACCAGAGGGAAGCAACTGAAACTGTACAACGAAGACGACGACGACGACGACGACGTCGGGAGAGAAGAGCAAGCAGGCGAAAGAGAGCGTCGGTGCGAGAGTGTCTATTTACGAGTTGTCCGGCGCCGTGATGTCCGGAGTAAAAATACATCGTAGTCCGTATGCTGTGCGCCACACAGAAACCCTCTTGTAATTCTCCGATGCTCTCGAGCTGCCTGCTGCCTGTTCGCCTGCTTGCCTGCTTACTTGCTTTGCCTGCTTACTTGCTTTGCCTGCTTACTTGCTTGCTTACTTGCTTACCTTCTCCCTCTCTTTTCTTACTTTCTTTCTATTCTTTACCCTTGCCTACCCGTTGCCTACCCCGCTCCACGTTGACTCTCTTGGAACGCATTCAACCGCTCCCGGAGAGAAGACCCACGACATGCTGGCTTTTGGAACACCATCATCCTTCTTCTCCGTGCTCGCCGATCGAACGTCTCTCGCATTGATCTACGATTTATTTTCATCGCTTAATTATCGTCGTTACTTATTTTTTTAGCCCATTTGCATCATTAGCGTACGCGCGGAAATTTCCTGGTCGTTACCGCGAAAGCGAGCATAATTTTTTTAGGCGGTAAGAAGTTGTACGTTTCGAAACATTTTTATTCTTGTAGAATAATTTAGGATGACGAGACGCAACTTTTCGCTTTATTGTAATGGGTTATTAATTTGTGAGGAACATGTGTTTTGTTTTGGTATTTACTCCCATTATGGAGTTTGGTAATTAGATGAAAAATTTTCTTCGATATCGCAGAATTCTTCCTCGTGATCTACGTGGGAGAGTGATAGTCTGTGTGCAAGTCTGCAATATAATGAGAGCTTACTGAAATTTCGGATGTAAGTCAAAGTATACTTTGGATAACTGAGTCAATCTTTGAATAGCGGCAGTTCTGGCAATTTTTATAATGTTAATTTGATTTTTATTGCCATGCGTTATATCGCCTCGCGTTATATCGCCACGCATTGTATCGCCTCGCGTTATATCGCCACGCATTAAATTACTATATGTTATATTGCCACGCGTTATATCGCCACGCGTTGTTTCACCTCGCGTTATATTGCTACGCGTTGTATCACCACGCGTTATATCACCACGCGTTATATCACCACGCGTTGTATCACCCCGCGTTATATTGCTACGCGTTATATCACCACGCATTGTGTCACCACGCGTTGTATCACCACGCGTTATATCACCACGCGTTATATCACCACGCGTTGTATCACCCCGCGTTATATTGCTATGCATTATGTCACCACGCGTTGTATCACCACGCGTTATATCACCACGCGTTGTATTACCCCGCGTTATATTGCTACGCGTTGTATCACCCCGCGTTATATCACCACGCGTTATATCACCACGCGTTATATCACCACGCGTTATATCACCACGCGTTATATCACCACGCGTTATATCACCACGCGTTATATCACCACGCGTTATATCACCACGCGTTATATCACCACGCGTTATATCACCACGCGTTATATCACCACGCGTTATATCACCACGCGTTATATCACCACGCGTTATATCACCACGCGTTATATCACCACGCGTTATATCACCACGCGTTATATCACCACGCGTTATATCACCACGCGTTATATCACCACGCGTTATATCACCACGCGTTATATCACCACGCGTTATATCACCACGCGTTATATCACCACGCGTTATATCACCACGCGTTATATCACCACGCGTTATATCACCACGCGTTATATCACCACGCGTTATATCACCACGCGTTATATCACCACGCGTTATATCACCACGCGTTATATCACCACGCGTTATATCACCACGCGTTATATCACCACGCGTTATATCACCACGCGTTATATCACCACGCGTTATATCACCACGCGTTATATCACCACGCGTTATATCACCACGCGTTATATCACCACGCGTTATATCACCACGCGTTGTATTTCCACGCGTTATATCACTACGCGATATATTGCAAACCGTAAATTATCACGCATTACATCACCACGCGTTAAATCGCTATGCTATATTACTTTGTTTCATCGCCACGTATTATATCACCATGCATTATATTACCATGTATCACAAGTCGCTCTGTACTATAAGTACTATAAGCTCTGTACAATAAGCTCTACAAAATATATCGCCGTGTGCCAAATCGACGCGTACAATATCAGTGCGCGTTTTATATCGCCACATTTTGTATAGTTACACATTATATTATCACGTATTATGTTGCCATGCGACGAAAGAATTCGTTCCTCCAAAGGGCAGAAACGTTTTACAATTTAATTGAAATTCGTGATGAAAGAAAGATTGATTTTGTTACATCGATAAGGAAACATTCGTTTATCTGACGATCAACAAAAGTAATATTGGCCCCGTTAATTTTTGTTCGTCATCGTGGCGTTAGAGCTTAACGCGTCTTGATCAGATATACATTACGATTGGATAATGCTCTTAATGTTAAAACTACGTCAAACGTGTTCCGTTCCGCGGGGTATTATTAACCGTGTAAGAAGATTTGTTTCTCGCTCGAAAATACTGGGAATACGTACGATACGTCGATTTAGAGAACTTGTTTGTGTCCTCGTCGATGACTTAAGTCTTAAGCGAAACGTATTGACTCATCGATGGATGGAAATATAAATGAGTGACAGTTTTGGCAGAATATTACGCTGTTTAACTCTGTGAAATAAAAGAGATAAACGTACCTATACAACATTCAACGAAACAGATCATTTCGAGTGTTCTGAACTGTGTCATTGTTACTTATCTAAAATCAGAAAATTTGTAAAAATTCTGAGATACATACGATTGACACTCGTGTCAAAACACAATCTTTTCAATTTTTCCATTCAAGATCGCCTTCAGAACTAAAGATTTACGTTTGGCTCCATTTCAAAAGAGATCTTCTACACTCAACATTCATATGCGTAGAAGGTTTCGATGAATACGTTCATTCAAGAAACGTATTATAAATTATCAATTTCATGCAGAATAAATTGTTGCAGATTGTATACATGGAAACGATACGATTCGAGATAAGTGTTATTTCGCAGCGCTTTTATGTCATCGAATCGTATCAGATTTTTTTACGTTCCACAATTCATCAGCTCGATACGGTGAAATCACTATCGTTTTTTAAAGGACCGATCGATAAACACGATGACGTATATCGCCATGCGTTTTATCGCCACGAGCGAAACTTATCGACATCAAAATTGAATCGCAACATCTGTTCGAGTTCATTGGACTCACCTTGACCGGATAAAGGTTAAGATTTACGTTTGGCTCCGTTTCGAAAGAGGTCTTAAGAGTTTTTTGCGACAAATTATTCGGGTGCGTTCAATGGGAAAATTTCCTTGCCGATGCTTATACAGGGTGTCGTATTAAGCGTATGTTCGTTGTCTAAAATTTCTTTGGAGTCAGGCGAGGTAGACGGTTCGCAAAGGTATTCGTTTCACGAAGGTAAATAAGAACTCTCCGGTGTAATGTTTTCCACTTCCTCCCGGTTGAAAAATGACACGCGAGTAAGGTAAATACGTTAGGTAGAAGGGAAGAAGACGGGATCGGCAATCACAGCCATTAGCCGCTATTTTTGTCGACCGAGAAACGTAGTGTTTTCGTGCAACTAAAGCCGTTTCGGATGAAACAGCTTCATCCTCCCTATGTGTTAACTTCTAGATTCAGCTTTTAACCCTTTAACCTCTTTGTCTCCATCAATTATTATTTCGTAAATACATTCTACTTTCTAACCCAACAATTACTACCAAATTCTATAATAGTACAATAAAATATTAGTGTAGGACAGTAAGTATAGTACAGAGTTCGTAAAACAAACTCTAATGCTAAACCCAATACCCCATAATTTTACAGAAGTACTCTGTGAAAGAGGACCCAGAAAAAAGTTGTTGAATAGACGTATCGGTTTTATTGAAAAACGTTGAAACCCGTACGCCTAACTACGCTCGCTAGAGGCAGGCGCCTGGCTGTTACTCCTTCGCGTCGTCTTTTGAATGGAACTATTTTTAGAATTCGCCTACTATATGTGGATAACTGTACGTGCCGTGGCGTATTCAGTTTCTGCACGGTGCCACGCTGCTATACGGTACAAAATAGCACGACCGTCTGAACCGTGTTATAATTTTATTTTCCAGCCACCTGACGCGAACTACGACATGGGAGGATCCACGAAAAACAGCGGCAGCGGCAAACGTGGCGGCCGTGGCCGCAGCCGTCGACAACGGGAAATCCACGAGCGCCGCTACAAATTCCCTAGGCCCGTTGCCCGATGGTTGGGAACAGGCGCGTACTCCCGAAGGAGAGATCTACTTCATTAATCATCAGACGCGTACCACCTCGTGGTTCGATCCTAGAATCCGTAAGTTTCCACAGATCCTTGCAAACAACTTCTATCGGATCTTTCTAATGAGTATACGGCACAGAATTCGTTATTCTATAAACAGTAATGTCAGAAAGTTAGTACACTCTAGTTGGTAAGGCGTCTTTCCCGCGCAAATTCAAACCCACGTAACAATGCGATTAATTCTTTAAGTTTAATGTTCCCACATTTATTTCCTCTAAGATCGTTCAGAAATTGAGTACTCGTTTAAAGCACAGAGTTTGTAAATATTATGTAAGCGTCAAATTTTGTTCACACTGTTTCACACGAGCAAAATTACTACATTATGTAATTTGTATACGTAGACCTCAAGTTCGAACACTGAGTCAGTGTGTAAGTTCATTCAAACATCGACAACCTCCTTGCGACTCGTGTGTAGGATGCTCTTTAAAGGTCGCTCGTACCCCGCGATTTTATTTTCGTACGTGAATTAGAGTTATTCGTAGAAGCATAAGTTTTGACGAAGTGGTTCATTCAGTCTATCGATGTTTTACAGCAACGCATCTGCAAAGGGCCCCGACTTCTGGTGCTATGTTACCTCAGAATTGGCTGCAACAGCAACCCGCAGGTGGTGGTATTCAGAGTAATCAAACGTTGCAAGCGTGTCAACAGAAACTTCGTCTTCAGTCGTTACAGATGGAACGTGAACGTCTTAAACAACGGCAACAGGAAATTATGCGCCAAGTTAGTGTTTAATCCATGTTTTTCACATGGATTTATATCGATTACAATTGGAAGTATTTAACTCTATTGGAAGTATTTGTTTTTAATAAGCTTTGTTTCGTTTTGCAGCAAGAATTGATGCTTCGACAGAGTACCACCGATGCCGCCATGGATCCATTCTTATCAGGAATCAATGAGCAACACGTGCGTCAAGAAAGCGCAGACAGTGGCCTGGGACTTGGTTCAGCTTATTCTCTTCCTCACACTCCGGAAGATTTCCTCGCGAATATCGACGACAACATGGATGGTACAAGTGGTAAGAAAACACATAGAGGATTACACTGTCCAACAAAAAGTAACAATTATCACGAATATGTCTATCACCCCGCTATAAGGACATCTAACCAGTACTTACTGTGTTTGACCGTTTTTAAGTTGCATAGTTGAATGTTAGATGGCACTGCGTACAAGTTAAAAGAGTAGACAAATGTATTAAAAATTGTCAAGGATTAATATAGAAATGGATATTTGTAGAGAGATGTACGTAGTAGATATCTGTTGGACAGTATTACTAAATAAAAAATAATTTTGTTATAAAGTATGGTGTAAGTCGAAAGTTGTTTTGTCATTGTAGATGGAGGTGCACCAATGGAGACACCAGATCTCTCAACTTTGAGCGACAATATCGATTCCACCGACGATCTTGTCCCATCGTTACAGGTACCTATCAGAAACGGACAACCGTGCCTGATCTACGTTCGGAAGATTTTTGATTTTAATTTCGCCCTTTTTTTGTTTCTTTTTTCCGGTAAATTCGTCACCAGTTGAGCGAGGATTTCAGTAGCGACATTTTGGACGACGTGCAATCGCTGATAAACCCTAACACGACAAAACCTGAAAACGTGCTGACGTGGCTGTAGTGTGCGGAGAGAGGGAATTGTCTATGACAGGCAAGCAATCGATGAAATCGACTCGATAAACAAAAAAGAAAACAAAAAAATAAGAAACAAAACAATATCGCAATTTTGATACGTTTAAACCGAACGGAACGTAAAGAGTAACGACTATTCCATTAAGAAAACAAAAAACAGAAACAGGAACAGAAAAATACTGGAAAAAACGCACGTGAAACGAGAAAATTTTTAAAGTTTAAGTAGAAAAGGAAGGAGAGCCTTAATTGCAACGCGCTATGCTCAACGTATATTACGAATCATGTATACAGGAATATTTCGTAGGGTGTCTTAGAAAACGTTCACGTTAAATCGTAAGATCGTGTTCTGCACAAAGATTTCATTTTTAGCTGCCATGTTAATGAAATAAAGATGGTAAGAAAAAGAAGAAGAACTATAAAATTCGAAGCCTCAGAAATGTAGTGTTCATGGCAAGCTTGTTTGAGTCTTCCTGAAAAGATGCGTTCGAGAATTTTAAGCAGGCCGTTTAATTAGCATCGAGGCTTTCCGACAATCTGAAACACTTGTCAGCATTTTATCTTTCTCTTCTTTTTTTACCACCTGTTGAAACACGATGATTGAAGCTCTTGGAATCTTAGGACAAAGGAACGCGATCTTCGATATGTAGAATTTCGAGAAGATTGTTTTCTTTCTAGGACACCTTGCATGATGTAAATGACCATTGTATTCGGGTCTTTCTCTTTCTCTCTTAATTATTAGAGCGTTCGAGCGTTTGTATGTTTTCTTTTTTTGTATGCGTGTATGAGTGCATTCGTGTCCCCCTCCCCCGGTCCCCGACATTTTGTATATATATAAGTTTGTATTTCTATTTACTAAAGCATCGTACGAGAGGGAGCGAGAGAGAGGACTGAATATTTTGCCTAATAATATTTAAACGCGCGTTCACGCTCACACGATCATCGAGAAGAAAGAAGAAAAGAGCGCGGCGAACGGTGTGTTAAGCTCGATTTATTATATCTTCCCGATAGTATGGAGATAGGACAAGTTGAATTGTTGTTTAATTATATTTATAATCAACGTTGGTTTATACAATGAGGAGAAATCTGGTATCATGACATATCAGATTTTTTTGAACGGTACACATATAGGATCTCGCGCGTGATTAAGGAAAAAAAATGAATTCTTTCTTAACGCTTTGACGGCCGACATCTTTTTATACCTGACAGGAGATTATTCGTATAATTATGTTACAGAGTTTCCGCAAAATTACTGATTTTTTATTTGTAATTTGTACACGAAGAATAATGGACACCGGCCGTCAAAGCGTTAGGGAACACCATACCTGATGTGTTCACGGGATTTCAAGATATCAATTGAAAATTCGTGAAACGTGTAACGCGTAACGAAAATGCAAAATAAGTGCAATTATTATACGGAAAAAATACGCTACCGTGTAGAAGGGGAAAAAATAACGGAAGAGAGGTGATATTTTATTCGTTGATTACATTATAACGGTGATCTTCGCGCGGTGTTTACGGAAGCAAAAAGCAAGCGGTGCGACGTCTAAAAGTATCGAAGCATTTTTAAACACACACTCGCGTCTATAACTTCGAAGTTGGCATACGGAGCAAATCGTGTTTACCGTGTGTTGTGTGTATGATTCAGATTCGAAACAGATTTTCTTCGAATCGTCGGTGTCCAAAGTATATACATATATATACACGTACATGTATATATACACACACAATTATATATACACTGCAATCGAGTGTCGATAATGCTCAGACTAATTTTACAAAGCGAATTAATGCTTGAACGAAGTGCCTTTTCATTGCAATCGATTAGTAAAAAAAAACGACGATCTAATCAAATAATCGTCACCTTTCAAAGCAATAACCGTCCATACGAGATGTTTACGTGAACATGTGGTAATTGTTAAAATAGGCAAACTTTTTTTTTCTTTTTTTTTAAACCCTTTTTAAATACGGTGATTACGTAGAATAGGGGAAACCTCGTCGACTTTGATGACCTCGATGTAGTATTATAAAGATCAGATCTAAATGTTTCTTATACACGTGACGTTCAAAGATATACATAACTCTTTTTCAGTGATCTTGGTAGTTAATTATTGTTACTACTCGTACAGACTATCATGATTTTTGTAATGTATATCAGGATCGTTGAAATTGATCAGGTTTACCCTGTTCTATGCAATCACCTTAAATACTTCGAAGAGGGGAACACAAAATATGAATATATATATATATATTTTTTTTATATATAAAGTCTATACTTGTTACGAATTGCAGTTATATTGGTATTTTGAGAAGAAGAAAAGAAAAAACACTTGTTAGATTGTAAAATTCTCTTACGTTTTATACTACATTACAGTTATAATTATGGAGATTACAGAAAGAAAAGGAGAGAGAGAGAGTATATGATATTTATAGATTATCTTTAAATATCTCTTTTTAGCGTTAAGGATCATTTCGTCTTTAAAACTCGTCCCCCATTTTTTCTTTTCTGGGAAACGCGAAAGAAAGAAAGAAAGAAGAGGCCGTTCTACTAGTGTCTGTTTCGCGTGAAACAAACACGTGTAGTTAATTGTTAATTAAAGTATGCGTATATTTAGTTACATGGCAGCTTGAAAACAAAAACTAGAGGTTGACGTAACTATTTTCTTTTTCAGCACGAATTTGAGGCGACATGAGTACCAGTGATCAAATGAATTTCTTTTACTTATTCCGACTGAGATCTATTTTCTTCTTAAATAGTACTGTTGTATTTTTTGTTAACAAAATATTTGTTATACGAAGATTAGAACTGGAAATTCGAATAATTCTACAGCTCCAATAATTATTATAATTATTGACACGTTGATGGCCAGAGACCAATAGGAGCTCAAACTTAATATGATTAAACATCTATACAAAAATTTTTAATCAATTGTTATATAGGATTAATGGTATATTCTGTTATGTATCAATGTTGGGATTGAAAAATATGTTATAAAGATTGCATAATAATAGAAATTTTAATGATATATGAATAATTTCAACGTGTTAAACAATCAAAATTCTCTGTACATTTAATAGTTACGTCAACACTCAAAATCGTTCATCGATTTGTAATTTCGTTACATAGATGTATAAATAAAACCGTGTAATAAGCTCTTCCGACTTTTCCCGCGTTCAGGAAAAGTTCGCGAAGAAGCTTCTAATTATTAATTAGAATTTCGTTTTCGGTGTTATTGTTCGCGAGCACGGTTTTCACCGATTTTTTCTGTTGCTACGCTAGCCGTGCGAGCGAAGAGAGCGAGTATTCGACCTCTTTCTTTTTTTTTTAATTTTTTAAGGGAATAATAAAACGATCATGTAATATCCATTCGATATTTTGTGTTACTATCTGTATTATTCGACTGAGACTTGGAAAGCGATCGCTTTTACAGTTAAGTGTGTCGATGCCAAGAGAAATAAATAGTACTTGTTTTATCAATGTTTACGATTGTCGCGAAGTTGAAATAATCGGTTGTTTTATAAAGTTTGTTAGGGTCTTGAATCACAAGTGCATTGAACATGTTTATACAACGATTAATACTGCTCTATAAATGAATTCAAAACACTGATAATTAAGTGTCAGGATTTATTTGATTGGTTAATTTTGAATTAACAAATAATTCAGGTGTGAAACATTCACACTGTAGGTGCAATTATATTTTTACTAAACCTAAGAATATTTGCTAATACTCGAGTATTTTTCGTTGTTAGAATAGTTTTAATAACTGCAATTATTGTTTAATGAAATTTAAAAGTCTCTTTGATGGAATGAAATTTTGAATCCAAGTGCTTCAGAAGGAAATAAAACTTACTGGTGATTCAAGAAATCCTTCAGTTCTGTTATGTTGACTACCAAACATCAGTTCATTATAAAATTTCCTTTAATATCTTTCACTCAAAATTATTCTATGGTAGTCAGCAATCATTTATTTTAAAAACATGTACGATTACTCAGTTTTCGCGAGCGAAGAAATTTTATAGTTAATCATGTCGGAAGGCACAAATGTCTTTTATTTTCAATGCTTAATACCTTATCTACCGGTACATAGTACTGCAACATTCATTTATTACAAAAATTGTCATTTAACATTAAATATTAATCACCATTGGTGCAACTTTGACTAAGATGAACCACCATTTAGTGCTCAGAAAATGGAAAAATGAAGAAAGCCTAATTTCTGGTAGATAAGGTGTTAGTACTCAGTATGTTCTTTCTTATCAACTCAGCGAAAACCATTGTTTACGCGTTGTAAAAAGAAAGAAATCTGTGAAAGTTACCCCATCGTAAACGAAGGATTAACAACGAATGTTTAAATCGATGCGTTAACTTTAGTCGCGATAGCTTTCAGGGCGTGTCAGGTCAGATACATTTTAATGTATTATTTTTAATTGCCTAGTTAACGATAATATTAATATTACCATACCGTATCTTGCTTTTAGTCTAAACTCAATTTAGTTGTTACGTTTTCAGGGGGTAACTTTGGGGTTGGGAGGGAGGGTGGGGCGGGTGGGGAACGGAGGTTGTAGAATCGAAAGAAGAAAGGGGAAAAACGAAAAACAGAACCTTTTTTTTTTGCGAAGTGCCTTAATTAGGAAAATTATGTAAATGTGAATTTTATGGGAATTGTTTTTTGTTTAATTAGCAATCGAATAACGGAAACAGATTATTGAAAGTCTTATGGAGCTCCTTGATCTTTTTAGGTGGCGCAATAAAGAAAAATTGTAACATCTGAGATTATATAATACCGAGAAGCAATTAGTTGTTTAATATCAGTATTTAAATATGCTCATTGGCAATAATTTGTGACGTACACTTTTTATATCGGTAACAAGTGCCTTAGTAATAACGATAATGATAAATATATTGTTTACTTACGTACTGACAAACGATGTTATACTTTTTTAACCCTTTCCCTTCGATCATTTCTTTCATTCATCTTTTTGGTACCTTGACATTCTGTTTCATTACTTTCACTTTTCAAATTTGCCATTAATTTCAAATTTTACCAAACTTATTTACCAAACTTAAATATAATAAATATTAATCGATACACACACAGAATTAAATCATCAATATTCGTAAAATCTTCAAGGTTTCATTAAATATGCGATTATCAATATCATACCGATTGTCGATAACAAAATTATTTAATAAAGTAGTAATTTTAAACAACGAAGTTTTCGATTATCTTTGCTAGATAGAAAGTATCGCTTTACACCTACAAGCATCGAAGTCCCCCATGTTTTCCTCGCAACTCGTCCTTGTTGTTCATGGTTCCAACCATTGTTGTTAGTCATCGTCTGCTTCGTAGTTGAATGATCGATCGACTGAACAAGAGAGAGAAAAGTTCGGCGTACGCCTGTGAATGTATCTTTCTCTATGATCGTTTTCAGCCATCGTGGCTGGAACGAGATGGAAGCAGCAGATTTCTGATTTGGCAAGGGGTGGGCTTCGCCAACGATGGGGGAAGAAACGGTAGTTTGCGAGGGTGGCTGTGATCCATACGAACCCCATGACGTCCTGCACGTTTCACGGGTATTTTTATGGATTCTTCCGAATGCGTGTTCGATCGTTCCGAAACGCCAGCCTATTTTTGTATTCTTCCCTCGTCAGTAGACTTTTTAGAAACACTCGTTCTCTCTGTAGTTTCATGAAATTACTTTCAAAATGGAGATTATGTCACACTTTTATTAAAGATATATTTCAAGTTTATTTTACAACGATAAGAATTGATAACACAGTTAACACAGTTACACAGTTAACATAGATTTTATGTCGTTTTGCGGAATCAAACACCCTTGTCACAGCTGCTTGGACTTGTGTAAGTATCACAAACGTTCATTTTACAGCTAATTTCAGTTTTGGAAAAAGGAAATAATCACATGGAAGTCAGGCGAATTTAAAAGATGTTGAAACAGACTTGTTTTTCCTTCAAAAATTCACGAACAGACAGTTCTGTGACATAGTGATCATGCAACAGAAACCAACTTCCCGGCGCTCGATATTCGGGCCTCACACGAACGATCCTCTTCCACAAATGTTCCATAACACCCAGATAATATTCGCCATTAACATTTTGTCCCTGTGGAACGAATTCCCGAAGTATAATTCCTTTAGAATCGTAAAAGCAAATTAACATTGTCTTCTCTCGGGACTTCTGGAATCGCAATTTTTTGATTTTGGAGAGCCTGGAGATTTCCACGTAGCACTTTGGCGCTTTGTTTGAGGTTTATACTTGAAGCACCAAGTCTCATCACTAGTTACAATTGATTCCAATGTACAGTTTCGCTTGGCTTTGATAAGATCCTCGCAATATTCAACGCGAGCAATTTGTTGCGTTTGCCCGTGATTTTGTGACACGGTGACGAAAGGTTCTGTCGCGTTAAACGCTATAAGTTTACAATTCTCGATTCCAATAATGATTGTCGCGTTTTGAAGGGGATACTGTTTTCAGATAAAATATTGTTTTAATAAATGGCGCTAGTTTTCCTTAAATTTAAGGAGTTCCGCTACTTTTCCGACATACTGTGTAAAAGCAATTTCGATTTTCGAAAGCTCTTTTCAAAGCGATCTTTTACGTCTCTCATTGTTTCGACTAGCACATATTTATTCTTCGGTTATATTACTGTAATTACCATCTTGCGTTCAGTTACTCAACGCAAAAAAGCAATTTTACGACCCATCACAAGTAAAAAGGTTTCCTATAAGAACTGCAATTCGAAAATCCGTGTATCTTTTTTCTCCGAAACGCATTGAAACGAGGAGCAGTTTCCTTTTTTCTGAATTCTGGGCAAACAGGTAAAAAAGACTGGCAGGAGATTAGCGACTGGATACCTGGTCTTTTTCAACCCTTTCTTCGTATCCTTTCAGTAATGGAAAGCATTGAAAGCTTTGAATTGTCCCTGGCCACAATTTTTTAACCCTTTGAACGCGCGTCCAAGGATTATCAGGCTTCCGGTAGTCTTTCAGATCGCTATTCTAATGACAACGTAAGGTTTGAAAGTACATAAAATGTATCAAATCTGGGATCTCAAAAACAAAAAACTCACCTTCGTCCACCAATAAAAATAAAGACCAAAGGGTTAAGCTAACTTTGCAAGCTACGCGACACGCAAGAACTTCCGGATTATCCGCGTACCTTCTTAGTCTCGATAAAAACGACAGCCATTTTTTGTTTTAGAAAAAATTAACAGTTGGAACTTCCCTTTTTTGTTTCGCTCGACTATTCAAAATGCAAAAACTATGGTAGTTTGCAGCTTTATCTTTTATGGGAGATGTACAAATGACGATGGTTAATTTTTATACAATTCAAAATATTGATCAAATCCCTTGACACTTTGCAGGTATTTAGAGTTAAAAATATTTTATCAACTATTAACTTCGTATACCTAAATATTAAATACATGAAATTATTGTATAGATTACAGTATGCAGAAGGGGTAGAAAAAAGAATTGAAAAGTTATAGGGATGAAATCATGTATCGATATCGTCAGGTCTCACGCAGGTAGTTACACTTGCATTCTCATGTAGGGTGGTTTTTTGCCGGCGGTAAAAAACTCGACTCCACGCACCCTTCCCCTATGCTTCTAATAGAAGCGAAAAAAACTCCCCTTCCCTCAACAGGTGTACACCTATTGTGCAAGCGGGTTGTAACGCGAGATCGATGGAGTGGTAAAAAAAAATTAAAACTTCCCTACGTGCAACAGGTGACCTTTTCATAGGTTAGGGGCTTTACAATCGCCCTCCCCTTGCTATCACTCTCACCCTTTTAAATTCCCCTTTCGACTCTATCAAAACACTGTCTATCAAATGTTTCATCAAACGTTTCATTATTAACACTCGCTATTTAAAAGACGAATCTTCAAACGCAAAGAAGAAACTTTTTCCTTCGAATTTCTTTTTAAACGACTCGAGTCGTTTGTTAACATCAAAGGCGAAAAGTTTTTCCCCGTTTTTTTCCACCCCATTCTTCATGGAGACCGCAAGTTTTTGCAGATCACCTCGATGAACGCAGAGATGCCGTTTTAAATGGAAATCTTCGACAAAGGGATCGAACCGGTGGCCATTAAGAATGCGTTTTAACGCACTGCATCCGGTGTGTCGTTTTTCTGAAAAGTGACGGGGAAAAATGCCGGTAAAAAAGGACGTCAGGATCGATCGATCTGCCAACGTCATTCCGTGATCATTGAATGCTCGTTGAGAGGTCAACATATGTTTGATGCATAACGAGCCGCACGTTTCCCCAACGATATATTGGCCTGTCTTATATTGGATTATATTGCACTATTTCGAAATTTTGGTCAACATAACCCTTGCGATGTGTCAGGTCAGTTCCGATCTATGAAACAGTGCCATATAATTTATGACCTTAGTCCAATTTGCTAATAAAATTAAATAATATGGTTTATTGTTGGGATAATATAAATCACCTGT